AGATTTTGTTTTGCAGTGCAAAAATTATAAGACTTACAAACTTGAAATTACGACGGTATGTAAAAAATGTACGGGGTGTACGATGGAATAAAAAATAATTTTATTCGCTTACTTCGACAACTGAATATAGTTAAGTTTGTAGAAAACAACAAATACCATGAAGATCACAGAAATGCAATTACAAAACTTGATGCGTTGAATTAACTTTTTTATTTATTAATGAATGGTTTGAGTATGTTGTAAACAAGTAAAAATACTTCTCATTTATTACTTCTTCTTGGGTTTCACATTCAGTACTTGCAAGTTACAAATATTTTCCTTAATTACACTTGATTATTTTTCATATCTAGGTATCCGTTTATGTCTTCACAATAAACATTTTAGCAAAATGTGTTTTCATAAAATCATCTAATTTCATGAAATCATAAAATTTTTAACGAAAAAAAAAAACAATGAATGAGAAAAAACCCCAGGAGCTGTGGATATTAGTAAGTTTAATATTTCTATCTAATATTTTTAAAATTAATATCACACACCTTCCTCACATTCGTGTGGTATTAGTTAGAAATTTCCTAAAGGCAACGTTTTTATTCCTTAATTATTCCAATACATCTGCAATCTTGACATGTTAATAGCTTCTTTGAGGTCAGCCAAGAGTGAAACTTCTTCGTTGATGTTAATCGATAAATGAAAGAGTAAAAGCTCTTATTAGTTTGACTACTTCTTTTTATGTCAGCTCTCTTGCCTGGGGATAAAAAATAGAATGGAAATTCTCGCTTTTATTATTATTTTATAAATAAAAGTGCAAAAGAAAAGAGGATATTTTTCTTTTCTCTTAATTTTTTCATTTTATTTGTAACTTAAATACATATGCTATCCCTTACTTAACACTGTTAGAACTTTCATTCTAAAATTATGATAAAATAACCGGCAGTAGTCTGTCCATCCGATTAGCCGTAAAATTTACGGTAATGAACATTTTTTTACCTTTACGGTTTTTTAACCATTTACAACTAGCATTGTTTCGAAATCGAACGAAAAGAAATTTAACCTAATATAGGAGGTAGGCTTTTCGTTAGATAATGGGCATTGGAGAGTAGAGGATGGTGGAAATTCTTCATGTATTTAAGGGAATGGGGGGGGGGAATAATGTGGTCTCAATGCTGGGACTCGGACCCCAGTTCATGAGACTGATAGATTAGTCATCCCGATTTTAATGTGTACGCAGTTGCAGGAAACTAAGTGGCTTCATTTGTTGGACTTAAATGGGGCGGTAAAATTCTGATTGTTTAACCGTATTAGGTGGAGCAGTTCACAGTTAACAGTTTGATTACCATATCTTATTTATAGATATTTGACTGTTCAGTTTGAATGTGGTAAAATTACAATGAAATATATTGTTATTTAACCATTTTTTTCCGAGAAATTTCTAACAGTGTATAAGTGAAATATAATTTAAATCTTATTTAATTTGGGTAAGCAATAAAGTGAAAAGTAGTATATGGGGGGGGCTAGAGGACACTTAGCCCTTTCCATATACTACTATTGATTTCCTATTTTTATATTAAAAAAAATTAAAATAGGCCTATATTTTACATTTTTTATGAAATATTTAACAAAATCAGCATATTTAAAAATTCTTATTTTTATATTAATAATTTTTATTTTATTAAAACCTTATTGAAAATATCGTTTTTTATTTTACATGTAATTCATAATCGTAATATTTATTTTTACCTTTAAAATCAAAAATATATTTTCCACTATTAATTTTTCTTATAGCTTTATCAGATAATTCACCATGACATTTCGAGAGATAAAAATCTTTCTCATCATTGTCTACTTCTAATCTAGCTATAATAGAGTCACCGTATTTTGTATTTATTTTTCTCA